AAATATTCTCCTTTTGTGAAAAATGCTTCTATTATAATAATATTTTGCCTGTCTATAGCTCAGACCTCTTTACAGAGGCTCAACTAGAATGTTTGAAATATATAACTTAGAAGTGGGTTTATATATCCATGCTTTACGACATCAGAGGGGAGAAATTTTAAGAAAAAAACGCCGATAATTATTTCAATGGGTTGTAACTCTGAAAATAATGTGAAAATTTAAATTTTATAGTTGAGCCTCTGTACAGAGGTCTGAGCTATATACAGGCAAAATATTATTATAATAGAAGCATTTTTCACAAAAGGAGAATGCTTTGAAAATGGGTCTTTCTAAGTTCATTTTTTGTCAAAATAATGTACTTAAATAATTTCTTATTGTAACACTATTCTTAAAACAGTTTTATGTACATTTTCTAATCTAAGTGACACTAAATATCATAAATAGCATTCATTTACACGCTTTTGCAAAATCACGCTTCCGAACGTAGTCGTATACCTCAAGATTTTTCACAAACTTATGCAACTTCCCTGCCCCTTCATCACACTTTCTGGTCTCCTCTCAGACGAACGAAGATAAAACACTTCCGACCACCGTAATCTAGATTCAATGAGTTTTATGAAAAATATTCAAATGGCCGGCCTTCTTCGCAGTAAAAATCACTTTAAGGAAGATAGATTCATAGGAAACTTAAAACGAGGAAGAAATTTGCCGCGGCAAAGCTCAATTTTATTCTCATTCATTACTTTTACCATTTCCTGCAGGATCGAAAAGCGAATTATTTTCCTTTTTTTCTCTGTCCCCTCCTCTCAAAAATCTCCCACCCCCTCTAGTCGTTTTCTGGCAATTACGCAAAAACCGTGCAGGGTTAATAAAAAAAAAAAGAAAGACGAGACTTTTCTTATAGGGTATGACAGAGGGGTGTGAGGGTATGATGTATTCCCATACACCGCATGCCAACCCCCGACTGACAATAGCGCCAAAACAGGAAAGACATATTACAGCAAGATATTAGGAAAAGGGGAAATATATTGATATTAAGTATAATACATCATTTCACTGTATATATATCGGTCTACGTATCTTGACTTTTCTTTAAATAATGGCTTGGTTTTTATTTATCCCATGCTTTATTTACCTCCCACCCCCCGTGGGGTTGTCTTGAGGGGTGTAGGGAGAAGCATTTCACAAAGGAATTCTTACCTCACTGAAAATGCTATACATTCACGTTGTGAAAAAACGGTATTCCTATTAAATGAATTCATTGTGCGCAAAAGCTGTGTTTGGAAATGACAGGTTTAACAATAAAGGGGTACTTTTCTATCTCGGTATATATATCTTATTGTTCACGGTGGGGAAAAGGGGTTCTAAAGAGGGCTTTAGGATCTTTGATTAGATTTCTGGAAGCTATCTCTACCCTTTCTTCTAAATCTAAGAGTGATTGATTTTAAATGCCAAGGTCGTATTCGTGAGAGCATATCATTTTACTCTTGAGTAGACATGTGCTGACTGGAGAAATTTGTGATATTTTAGCAATACTGCATAAGGTATCCAACTACTTGTGGCAACTTTTTTTTGAAAAAATGGAGATATGGGGATTTTTTTTTTGTTGCTATTTTTAGATTTCTTTAGTATGTTTTAAGGAAAAAATTCTAAAATTGAAAACAGAAAAAAAATCATTATTATAAAAATGGGAACAAACTGGTGAAAATATACAAAAAATTACATATACGGGGCCGCTCTGTTCAAAAATACTTTTAACAAATTCTCAATTTTTCAATTTTGATGTGTTACTTTGTTATTCATATTTGAAATGATCTTCAGGATAAGAGATATTTTATATTTTATAAAAACTAGAGCACGTTATCTTAGTGATTATATGAAATTGCTTCAGAAAACAGCGATTATATTCACATAAAGGACTGTAAATTTTGTAATAAAACAGTGATTGATAAATGTGAAGGTCAAAAAACACTTCTACTGTTATACAGAACATACACAAAATATTTCATTAAATTATTTTCAAAATTTTTTGAGCAATCGCCGTCACCGTTGGAGCTTTTCGAAAAAACCAAATTTCGAGTAAAATGCGTTTTAAAGTTAGACATCTTGTGTAAAGTTATGGCATCTGCTTTTAATAAAACACCTGTAGTTTTTGTTCTAGTGAATGGAAAATAAATACCTCGGAACCATTATTAATGACCAAAATAAGCTGAAAGCTGAAATAAACAACCGTATAAAATCGGCTAACAAATGATTTTTTGGACTAAAGAAGCAATTAAGATCGAAATTTATGAGCGGAAAAACAAAGTTAAGATTATATAAGATATTAATTTTGCCTGTGTTGCTGTATGCTAGCGAAACCTGGACGCTGAATTTGGAGACTATACGAGTTCTGGAAACTTTCGAAAGAAAAGCACTGAGAACTGTATTTGGGCCTGTTAAAGATCAAGGATTTTGGCGTACTAGATATAATTTCGAGCTATATAGGCTTTACAAAGAACCTCAAATGACTCAAGTCATCCGAAGTAACAGATTGAGATGGCTCGGCCACATTAGGAGAAGCCCTAAAAAGAACCAGACCAGAACTTACACATTTAAGAATCTTATGGGATCTCAAACAAGAGGAAGACCACCAACAAGGTGGATAGATGATGTTGAAAATGACTTAAAAACTCTAAATATTAAAAACTGGCAGAGAGTTGCTGTGTATCGTTGGAATTGGAGGAAGCGAGGTGTGGAGGCAGCCAAGACATGTAACAGGTTGTTACGCTTATAAAGAAGAAGAAGAATGGAAAATAAAAAGCTTGGTATTTTTATTAATCTAATAAGATGGCCTATAAAGTAAAATCATAAAAGAAAAATTTGTCGATCTTTCAAAAAAATCATGATTTTAGGGTAGGCGGATACCTTAAGAAATAAACTCTTAAATTTTCCTTGTGTTTTTTTTTTTTTCATTTCCGCAGGAAAATTAGTTTAAATGTTCAATTTTGATGTTGAAAATCATGAACAATTCAGAAAGAACTTTTGGAAATAATTTAAAAGGCTTCTCTGCGTACAGTATTTACATGTCACTTTATATAGTAGATTGGTTTTTAAGTTTTAAAAACTATCACTCAAGAAATTTTTCAGTTTTAAGTCATTAAAAATAAGGACGCAGATATTTAAATACAAAATCTAATACTAAAAAAATATGTTTGAAAATCAATCCTTTTTTTTTTAAATACAAAGTTCATCCGGGTTTTTTTTTTCAATTTTTAATGTATTTAATATATTACGTTATTAGATTTACTTGTAGTATATTTCCACAATAGAATATTAAGTACTCGAAATATTTTCACGTTAAAAGGTCAACATTTGAGACGATATATAATTCCCCTAACACCTAGAGTACATAAGAATCTCGAGGTGTCGACTGATAATTTTTTCACAGGATTTTATTACATTTGGTGTAGGTAGGTAACGCACCCACAGGTTACCTTAATAAACTGTATCTATCTTCAATCCTTCTCCTTATCAATACATGGTCACGAACTTATAGCCAGCGTGTCATGAGTTCGAGTCCTCGGGCCAGTGAAGATCTGCCGTGTAGAGACACTGATGCACACATTAAATCCATTGGGACACAAATTCTTTTCTTTGGTGTGATGTGGAAGTTTGAAATGGAGGTGTCAGTTCTGGTATCGTCTAAGTCACTCTTGATTGGGGTTCAAAATTACACGATACGTCACTTATGGCACTAGTGTTGTTTTATAATTCGACTTTAATAAACTCACATCACTCATACCTTTCTCCTTACATCTCCCCTTCCACACGTTACATCTACATTCAATTTAAAAATACTTTAAATTGATTATACAAGATACATGATTATAGTCAAATTCTCGAATGTTTGGCGGAGTTTGGTGAAATATTGTCTTTTTGCTAATAAAACTAAAAGCTACAAACTATATAAGAATACCTATTAACTCCAATAGCTGGCATCTAATCTTTAGTCCAACTTAGCATGCTGTCAGTCATAAAGTACACAACATTGGTAACTAAACTCAGAGTTGTGATGCATCTGTGTGTGTTTTTTTAGTAATTAATGCATTGCCAATCTATGTTGCGACAGTATTTATTCTAAACATGCAAAAATGAAAGTGAAACAAAGCTCAAACCATACAATAACAACAATAATATCAACAAACATACTAAACGTCAAATACCAATATTATCTTAACTACTTCCCAGTTTTGCCCGAACGCCGCTCGGGCACTTTAAATGGCACTTCCATGATTTGCCCGAGCGCCGCTTGGGCAACACTTGTTTCTACTTTAATTATCTGATTTGCCCGTATTTTTTGTTCGTTTAGTGAGCAATGTTTCTAACAGATGTCCCTAACATTCGAGTAAAATTAGAATTAAAAAAATGTCTAAACCGGTTTCAAGGTTTAGTTTTACTGCATTCTTTTAGACTAGATAAAGCGGGAATTTTTGTACTAGATTTACGTGCTGCAAGCTACGAACACTATTTCTTTTAAATTTGGAATTTAAAATAAAAGAAAAATGAATGATTATGAGAGGCTCATAACAGAAAATAATTCTGGTATTATCTCAGAAAATGAGTCTGAAATTTCTCTACATGATTCTGGAATAGTAATGGAAGTTTGTTATCGGACTTCTCTTGTGGTGTAGATTGAAGAGATCAGCATCTCACAAATAACCCAACAGCAACAAAAAAAAGAGGCAAGAAATAATGCAAAAAAAATTTTGTATTATTTCTTCCATCTTTTAGATACATCATTGTGGAATGCTTTCGTTTTACATCAGAAACTGGGTTTGATTGATTGATTGGTGTTTTTTTGGCGCAAGAAAAAAAATCAACAATCAAGGAAAATTGTCTCATTTGAATTCCAGGCTTAAAATTGTAGATCGTCTTATTGAAAGTCATGGGGCGGTAAATGAGAAAACAAGACCATGAAGACCAACAATTGAACTGGCACCCCCCTACCTTCCACAGCACACCAGCGGGAGAACGTTTGAGCCTCGACATATCTTACTTGCATCGTCCCCTTACAAGCTGAGTCTTCAGCTGTACTAGACTCGAACTCATGACAGGCTGGATGCCTTCACCACTAGGCTACCGTGGCCACACCCTTTAAAATGGACTGCATAGCATACGTTGTCAAATACAAGCATAAACGGTAACCCGTAACAAACATATGCGCGTGATCCACAATCTCCCAAACCTAGGCTAGACCTAGTACTAGACACAGATGACAACCATAACATAATAATTCAGTCTTGTCGATGTTGCCAGTTGGCATATACACTCTATAACAAAAAAAATGTACCAAGAAGGAGTTGGCCGATTATAATGATATCTCGTATGCAAAGACATTTGTACCGAACATGTAAATGATTAAAATTTGGTGTCCAATGAATGAATTGCGGTTACTACTGGGCATTGCAGCTGTACACTCAGCATGTGTCTATAAGAAGCAATTCTTAATCTGATGGTCAAAATTTCTGTTGCATTGCGATTAAGTATATCTTTCAACGACTGAAAAAATGCCTCGCCGCAGGATTCGAGCTCATTACGAGTGACTGTCAAAGTTTGAAAGAGACCGTATCATTGGGTTGAAAGAAGCAGGTTGGACAAATCGGAGAATAGCTCGTCATATAGGTCGAAGTGATGCGGTCATTAGAAGACACTGGTAAGAATGGTTGACACTGACAGATTTTAGCGTCATGGTGGTAACGGTTGATCTAGGGCTACAGCAGATAGAGAGGATAAATTGATTGTCAGATCAGCTGTCACAGCACCGGATTCATCGTTGTCAACCATCAGACGTGCGACCCGCGCGCGAGTGTCCTCCATGACCATTCAAAAAAGGCTGATAAAGCGACATTTACACTCGTAGCGACCACTACGCCACCTTCCACTCACGTCTGCACAATGTCGAGCCAGATTACATTGGATTTTGGCTCGATCAGGTTAGAATCCTGCTGACTGTGGAAGTATAGTGTTTAGCGATGAATCCCGCTTCTAACTGTGCCCTGACGATCATCAAAGATGTGCCTGGCGATACCCAGGGCAGCGTGCTGATCCTGCTTTCACTATTGCACACTATACAGGCTCTCAACCTGGAGTTATGGTATGGGGTTCCATTTCTTTTGACAGCCAGACACCTTTGGACATTATTAGAGGCACATTTACAGCACAACAGTACTTCGACGACATTCTGAGAACTGTTTTGCTACCGTTCCTTTTGCAGTACCCTGGCCTTGTTTTTTAGCAAGATAATGCCAGACCACATACGGCACGTGTTGCTACGAAATACAACTGCTTGTCAAATAATTCCTTGACCAGCCATATCAACAGATCTCTCTCCATTTGAGCATGTCTGAGGTATGATGGGAAAGCGACTGCCTCTACCAGGGAATGTTGATGAACTGGCCCTGCAGTTGGAGAAAATTTGGCAAGAAATATTGCAGAAGACCATCAGGGGGCTGTATCACTTTATGCAACGTCGTGTGGCAACTTGCATCCAGGTTAGAGGTGGGTCAACACCTTATTGAGCTCAATTTTTGTAACTATGTCACTTTGAAATAAACTACTCAATTTTTCTGAAATTTTAATCATTTTTTATTCTGTACATAATCTTCCTACCTACCAATTTTTGTCTCTATCAGACAACTTATTCTAGGTGCGTCGTTTTATTGTTTTTTTGTTATATAGTGTAGTTCAAAATTCCCAGTTTTTCGGGGATATATCCGGGCACAGAATTTGAAGATTAAAAATTTGGATCATGATCGTATGAGGCTGAGAGTCGAGGCTCCCCTTGATGCCTAGGACTTGATCCCGGCCCCATTTGATCCATGCCTTAGGACGTCCTTGAATATATTTATGTATTTTAATTCATAGGCACTAAACTTAAAATAAATTTAAATTATTGAATTCTTGAAGATTAATAATATTTTAATGCTGCAAAATCAAATTCATCTAAAAAGAAATATATTACTAAATATGCACAAACTACCAGATGAATTTTTATGTCATTCAACGTTTTCTTGTATAATTAGACGTAAAAATAATGATTAGAATTTTAAATTTGTTATGTTTAATAACTTATGATTATTTGTTTTTAACCGATGTAGCTCGTCATTTTTTAAATTTATATTGTTTGAAGAAGGTTAGAGCTGGTTGCAAAATAAATGGTACATTAACGATATCTAAAATTTCTTAGACATTCTTTTTTTTCTCGGATAAAAAAAATTAATTTATTTCAAGATAAAACAAAAAAAATTTTAAATGTCCAAAATTGCTACATTCGCTAAAACAACGCTGCCACCATTCATTTCTTAATAATATTTTATTCTTTACGAACTCTGCGTGGTAATTCTGTTTTTTAAATCATTAATCAGATGGAAAAAACTAATGGTAGCAAAACATAAATTGAAAAATAATAATAAGCAAAAGGAAATAAAAAAAAGCGAAAGGAAAGGGGAAGAAAAAGAGAGAGATCTTTCAAGCATCCCCCTATACCTAGCTGGAAGAAATAATTTTGATCGAAGAAAATAACGTAAAAAGCACGTGGGGGAAAAAAAGAGGGAAAATAGGGAAGAAGAAAATAACGCCAAAGATGGAATTAAGAAGGAGAATGATCGAGGAGAAGGGAAAAAGGGAAGAAAAGCTAATAACAAAGATCATTAATCTTGCAATCCAGAACGCTACTGATAATCCAGTAGAATTCGCTTTTTCCTCCTTCCTCCATCTTGAAATTCAATAAGTGATATGGGTTTGATGACATCATCAGGTTCCGTTCGGATAGCTTCTTCTAAAATGATGCTGTCGGCTATTTTAAAAATTTTAAAAAAAATTATATAAAAAAAATTGACAGAGAATCAGAGAAATTAATGTTTTTGAAAGACACGTTTCTGTTACACATAACTTGCATTCCAAAAGAATTTTTATAATCATTCACTTAAAGGATGGTTTTCGATCCTTTTTGGGAAAGTTTTGTTGGCATATAATTGTTTTGCAATATAATTTATCTTTTTGATTTAAACTTATGTTTCTAAATTTTATTTGTTAATTCAATTGTATTATTACTAACTCCAAAGTTAACTTTTAATTGAGAACTTAAAATCCTAGAAAAATCAAAAAATATGTTTTGTTTACCTTTCTCAGTCAGTTAAAACTTATGTTAATATAAAATAAATTTTTTTTTAAACAAACGCTATTAAAATTAATATCTTTCAATGACTGAAAAGATGACTTGAAAGAAATGGTTTTATTAAAGTTATTGATTAAATTCTATAAAAAAACTATTAATTTTTTTTAATTTAAAAGTATTTTACCCTATACCTAGAATTTTTCATCTTGAATTTAACTGTTATTAATCTCTGTTTTGCTTTATAATAAAAGATAAATTTATTTAAAATTTTCAACATTTTCAACTGTGAGTACCTTAATATTCCATGAAAAATCAAGAATATTTGCAAAATAAAAATTTTATATAAAATGGATTCTAAAAGTTTACATATATAATATTATTTTTTGAAGAATATAAATAAAATTTTATTGCTGTATGAAAACTTTTAAAGAATGTGCACGCTTGGAATATAAATAACAACAAAATTAAATAAATAAAATGTTTTTTACTTTTGAATCTCTTAGAAATATATCAACCTTTTTTAATTTATTGAAATCAGTTATTACAATATTAAATTATAAGTTATTATATGAATTATCAAAAAGCTGTAAATCTGTGTGTGTAAAACATTTGTATAAAAAAGGCATACCATAAAAACCAATACATGTATATCATCTAATGTTACATACGTTAAGTAAGTTGATACTTTTTTTTGTATTTTTACGCTATTTCCAAACTAAATAATAGAAACTTACCATTTACCAATACTTAAGAGATTGTTATTACAAATTTTTTCATTTCAAAATCTTTTTAAGATAACAGGGACATCATATACTTTGAAAAAATCGAGTTTTCAATTTTAGTTCTAAAAATAGTGCTTATTTTTCTGAATCTAAAAATGTATAATACTTATAGGTTTGTTGATAAAATAACCCTAAAATATGAAAAATAAAAATGTAAACAAATGACCACGCCCTTTTTGTCACACCCCTTTGAACTTTAAAAATCTAGTTTCGCCTGTGTTTTATCTATATAAACGTTCTATATAGTGAACAAAATATCTTTCAGTATGTAATGTCTAATTTTTTAAAAAATAAATTTATGCGTGCAAAAAGAAAATTAAGATTTTCATAATTTTAAGGTTTTATGATTACTTTAAAGAAATTATGCATTTAATTCGTTAAAAAACTGGTTCATTATTTTTGATATGTTGTTGTATATATATGTGTGTAAATGTTTTTGTATATTCAAAGAATATTTTTGTAAGAAATGGTACCTATACATGAAAATATGTATTACAAGATCTCGAAAATTATGTTCATGTTAACTAAAATAAAGGGAAAAAAACACATATGAATTTAAAATTACTTTTGTAACTCTAGAAAATGATTAAGGATTATTATTAGTCATATAAAAATAGGCAAGCAAATACTAATCAAGTGTATAATATGTGAAAATATTGTTTTTCTTAGTTTTTTCACTTTTTCTCAAAAGCATATTTTTTTGCATTTAGGTACATTTTAAAAAAAAAAACTATTGCACTATATGATTCTAGATTTTTCATACTTCTATAGAAGATGCCTATGCATATAGTAAACCTAGTTTTTTTCTATTAAGATAATGCCTAATTTTTTAAAAATAGTTTTATGCATAAAAAAAGCAGAAAAGTAAAAAAAAAATTCAAATTTCAAAGTTTCATAATTTTTTTAAAGAAACTATATTAACATTTTACTAAAAAAATGGGTTCACTGTATTTTATGTATTGTTTTATATATGTGTAAAAAATATTTTGCATAAAATAGGATACTTTTTTAAAAAATGGTACCTAAACATAAGTATATATTAGGAGTTCTCAAAAATTATGTATGACTTAAATTAAGTAGTTAAAAAAAACTTTTGGAGTAAGAAGTTATTTTTATAGTTCTACAGAATAATTAAATTATCTTTATTAAGAACGTACAAAATCGAAGCTCAAATTAGAAATTGTAAAT